AACTAGAACAATGCTAGAGATCAATTAGATTGAACAAATTGTAGAAATTACCTCCTCATATGAAGACAACGAATATCATATACACTTGATTACGGATAGTATATTGAAAAAAACGCTCCGTATACGCATGACAGGTATATTGAATATGCTACTAAATAAAAAAACGAGTAACCTAGCAACTATATTACTCAGGTGGGTTTCCGAGCAGTATCAGACGCGTTTGACGCTTCAAATTCGATCTAATCTGCGGTAAATGTTTATTTTACTCCAGTTTATTCGAGCGTAAGCGATCAGATACAGTTCCTCAATTCTGTCTAAAATGCACCCATATTAAATAATATACCCCTATAAGATAAACTTACTTGTGTTTTTATAAAAAAAAAAAAAAAAAAAGTAGCCTTGGAAAAAGCAACGGAGACGCAAGAAACGTATGACACTTTCAGAACGACAAAAGCAAGATGGTGTAGCTGATCGAATATTTGATTCAATGATCTGTTTCGTTCTAAAAGGCACACATGGGGGCGATCTGTATATGCTGCGTCCATATTTAAGGATACCCAAAAGCATGACTTTTGCTAGACTGCGCAAATGACAGTAGTATCGACAGATCTTTCGGTTCGTGTTTGGGGCATGCTTTTACTCATTCAGATGGCTGATATGCCGTCACAGATCAATGTGTGATGCCTTCAGACATGATATAGTAAATCACATTGGAGATACAAACAGGTATCATGCATGGCATGTAGTCACTTTGACACATACAAAATCTCTATATATATGCAAATGCGTAATTCTCTCTGGAGAGTTTAATTCGATGCTATTATCCTTACTAAAAAAAAAAAAAGAAAAGAAAACAACTACAAGAGACAATGTAGCTTTCCGTTTAAAGAAAAGCAGGCCTTCAATTAAATTAACGACTGCGTTTGTGGCGTAGAGGTGTCAAGGTAGTACCTCAAATAGACCGATAACAAAAATGAAAAGTCAGAATGTTCTGGTGAAGGATAAGCGGGATGAGATGCTTTATTATGTTTAAAGGAGATCAACTGATAATGAATTAAAAATTTACAGTTTTGGATCTCTAGATTAATTACTGGCTCGAGGTTTGAAAGGCCTAATAAATGTTTCGAGCCACAAATTCGATATAGCAGTAAAGCATTGTATCTAAGATCGAAGCGAAGCGTATTTAGGCCCACATCTGAGCCTAAACTACCAGTGGTGCAAAATACGTTCATTAATTAAATCCGGTCCAATTATGTCATATCTGCATTCTGCTCGCATTCCCTGTAGAAAAAAAACAGCTAGCCTAACTGAATTTCAATGGTGCCAAGTGGCGTTCCTTGCTCGTGACTGGTTGTAAAGTAATTCACGGAAGTACATTACAAATACTAGCGTACCAATAAGGTACGCTTAATACAGACTGTTTGCAATATAAAGTTAGTTTTTCTCGTCCGTGCTTTCATCGCCTTACTGCGTTACGGGCCCACTTGTTTCAACCGAGACTTTACAGAGTAATTCGACCAAGATGAGGGTGACTAACAGAGCTCATTTATCATTTGCCCCGCCCATTTTTAACCACAGTAAAAATGTGTGCACTTAGAGAGCTAACTGCTCAATTTTTTACTCAATACAAAAAGCATATCGTGAAGAAACTTTCCGTTTTGCTCATTTCCGAACATCAGAATTAAAGGAAAATTGTAAAAATATTAAAAGATCCCAACAATTTCTGTTGGGAATCACTGTTAATTTCTATTACGAAAGTTTTCCGTATCCTAATATTCGGCGCAGCAGTAAGCACACTTCCTGTTAGTAATGGCCCATCCTAAACTTCTCCTATCAAACATTCATCAATAACAGGATCAACCCAATCTCTTGCAGTTAATGCAGATCTTTGTTTTTTAATTTTTATAAATATATGAATTATTTACATTTATTTTTTACCACCGTTTGTAGCATTTCTCAAGGTTAACTTACGTTACCTCAACGTTAACGTTAACTCAACGTTAAACTTATCTCGAGTGCTGGATAGAACGATATTAGATAACAACTTTATAGGATTATTGTAGGGTGTATTTCAAGTGCATTGTATTCAGCCATTATATTTTACCCAATAAATCAACTTGCGGGAAAATTGTCACTGAAAATGTTTGCTCCTACTTAAATAAACCGAAGAGTATTTTTGTTGACAGGAAAACAAAAGCTAAAATATGATAAGACAATATAGACAATTTTCAAACGCCACTGTTTTCCACAGTAAACCAAGAAACATCCCATTCCCGCTAAACGCAGTCGATTACTAAAGGATTATACAGCTGACTCTTTGTTAGGGCGCCATAATATTACTGACTTTGACTGATGCGACAGATTTCAGAAGTGCTTTTGAAGCTGTGATACACGAGATGTCTATTTTTTTTTTTGTTCTTGAAGGGGGAAAGCAAAGGCATACTCTCTCTCTCTCTTGTGTGTGTTTTTGTGTTTGTGCGTGTGTGTGCGCGCGCGCGTGCGAGTGTGTGTGTCTATCTATCTGTCTGTCTCCTTCTCTCTCATGTTTTTAGATATGTTTGGTCCCTGATTGAATTGAACTGCCTGTTTGATTTCCTCTGCAAAAGGACATCCAATATGAAAATGTACGATATAATTTTCCGCGCAGGATTTTTTAACGACTAGGTACCGCCAAGGGACCCTGTTAGGGAGCACTATGTTTTTCTACCCGTTAATTATTACCATCCCATAAGAGTCACTTTTCCCGGTTGCGGTAGGAAAATGTAAAGAACATTATTGAATTACAATCGCCGATGTCCAAGCTCTACTTGGAAAATGTGGCACTAGTTAATTTATAGCTAGTTCGGCACAGCCTAGCCATTGAACGGGAAAGCACTGGCCACGTTTATTGTCATACTTATCTATATATAGATTTGTTATTACTACGACTTAGATTTTAAGATACACTCAGACATTCATTCTGTTCACGAATTGCATTTAAATGTCTACATTGAAATCTATTATTGTTGTTATGATCATTATTATATTTCTGAACTGCTTTATTCTATACTCCTGATGTGTGACTCATAGAGTCACGGATCAATACATAAAACTAAAAAATCAGCGTAACACCCGTCTGAATTGAGACGCTCGTCTGTATAAATAGACTAGTTCTCCCTAAGGTACAGCAGGGATCTCCTTTGACGGAAACTCCCCTATTGTCACTGAAAGGGTGGTACAATAGGATAGCTGTTGATAGATATCCCTATGAACAGATATATAAGTGTTCGAACTACACAACGTTTGTTTTGTCAGCAATGCATTGGTTGCGACGTTTGTAAAAATATCCGCATATGTACAAATTCAGACGTAAGCAAACGTAAGTTCTTATAGCAAATCCATCTTGTTTGCACGTTGTGGCCTTCTCCAAGATACTGATGTATCGTTGGATAGTTCTAGAGCTAGACTTTCGTCTAAATTTGGCAAGACATTATCGGAAAATATTGGTTTCTCCAGTCGAGAGTATACACGAACAGTGTCTGAGCTATCGGTATACGACGCTCTTTAATACACAATGATAATATTCATTTATGATTTTCATGTGACCTTTTCTCCATTTTGCTGCATTGCAGAACATTTTCGAACGAGTACTAAGTCTAACGATGACGAACGTAAACATTATAGTAAATTAAATATACTCTTAATATTTAAGTAAATTCAATTAGTATAGCAATGTCACATAAAGGTTCTGTTGCCTGTTATTCTGTCAGAGCGTGGTTCAACTTACACCTTGTCAATAGGAAGTTAAAGGTGAGCCGTATGTAGTTTAATAATAAATCTATTTACGGCGTAAGCTATACAGTAGTACAATATATTTTGGCATTATAGTTTAGCTTGCGTTTCGTGAACGCACTCTTGCATGGGCCCGAATTGACCTATCAAAGGGTGTGAACTAAAAAGTTCTATATGCGTCTGAGCCTTTAACCCTGTTTAGCCGCGCTATCGACTAAAAAGTTTGTCGTCAGCCGAAACAATCTTATATATATATACACCAAGAGATCAAACGTATATAATTTGTTTTTTTTTTACCCCCCACATATCGAAAACCAACGGCACTCCTTGGAGTATAAAAATTAATTTGTAGCTCTTCAAAGCTTTATCAGTGTCCCGCTTAGATTAGCACAAATGATTTTCAACGACAACATGGTCATGCTACGATCCATGGCAAAATCAAATAAAAAGTGGCATCTTTGTTTTTTCTGCAATATCAAGTTATTTAACTTTTCATAGAATAGAATAGGCTAGAGAACTGAATAACTTCTATTCAGTTCTCTCGCCTAGAGTCTATTCACTTACGCAAAATTAATGTTTTTTTTCCTATAATTATAGATACAATGTGTTTTGGGCAAGCACCTTTATGTGTGTGTCTTTTAAAACATGTTTTACAAGTACTAAACTGTACATATATGTGCATCTTTTATATCGTGACATGTTGATGCTGCAGTGCCAAAAGTACTAGAAACAGTCAATTGGGGACTCGGGATCTGCTTAGCATGATATAGATGTACAAGAAATAGCAAATAAGACACTTAGAAGAATATGTTTTTTTTTTTTTAATTTTGAAAAAATGTTGCTAGACGGGAACCAGGTTACTCCTAAATCAATTCATATATACGTGCGTAACGTGTCTTTTGTCAGGTGCAGTATTTACTACTCAAGGTGCTAAGTACTCCATTGAATACTGACAAACTTTTAGAACCGACTGCAGCAAATTTCGACGGAGATCGGACTAGAGCTCTATTCCTAAATTTTATGTTATTCCGCGTGTACGTCCTTTTTCTCGAAATTTTGTATTTCTAAGCAACGTATTTGGCCAGCGTCTTCGTATCAGTCTTTGGTTCCTTTCTCCGCCGAATTTGGCCTTGGTCTACTTAGAATTTTTCTGCTTATAGTTATCACTTTTCTAGCAGTCAGTTTTATACCACTTGCCCACGGCCTCGATACTCTTCTGCTTATTCCAGTTACTGTGCGGAATATTCTTCTCATGCCTGCAGTGAATCTCGTCATCAGGCTCGTGTTGAGCCTTTTGCTCATAAAGTTACCGTGCGCGACCAGAATGAACGGCGTCATTGCTAATTTATAGAGGCGTTTAAATGCCTGATTTCAACTTTTGTAAGCAGTCCGTATGGCATCGAAGATTGGCGCTCCGCTCCCTTCGATTTTTAGTACCGTAGATACCATACGTCTGTCGCACATTAGAACCTCGGCGAAGGACGGGAAAATACGAGCTGAAAATTGACTTTGTTAGTTAGCCAATTTTCACAAATATTTTTATTGCCGAAAAGCTCAATATTATTTAACCTCGAAATTAAATTACTCAGCGTATTGACAAAAACGCGTCTCCTTTATTGTCCTAGTTGTCCTTAAATAAATGTTGCGAAAATTTGTCGAAAACATTGCGGTTAAGTATCGCTTCAGACGCTTTGCTATCATGACAAACGAAAGCTTATATTTAAAGGTGGAAGCTAGGTTAGTCTTAAAGTTAAGAAGGTTGACTAGCAAGTTAAGCCGGAGGTGACCATACCGATGTCGGTAGTAGTTATAGATAAAAAAAATATTAAAAAATAGTAGTTACTGCTTGATTGACCATTCTACAATGATGAAGTGAGACAGAAAGACGTTCTGATAATTTGCCTGTGACGTTCAGCCATATTTGAATGCCTCGCTTACGTTCAGTGTCTACGCAAAAATGTTCTAAGGCAATTAGAGTCAGATCTAGCGATCTTCTCGCACCACAAATACGTGTAGTTCTAGCTCTCAATAAATGGATTGAATTAAAAAATCAACTCTCAGGCACGCTTCGAAGTAGCACAGATGTGGGTACGTCTTTCTTTCAGAGTTGTCTGATTGTCTAAACAAGCGAACTTGCGTGAAGCCGGATACTAAATTATTGGTATTAGTAGAAGAAGCAGATCCTGATTGCTTTTTAACGTTTATAGGTCGGCCCGTTTTGCTACTTCACTGTCAACAGCAAGGCACGCACGTGCACGATCAATATTCGTGTTTATCAGATCGTCCTTTGTGGTGCGTACATTCATAGTGTGAATTAGGGAACACAAGTTAAACTATTGAGTGCTCAATGTGTATGATCCATTCGTGTGTTTTTTCCCTCAACGTTTTTTCAGGGCGCTTTATGTCAACCTGAGCAAGATACAGCATCTTCTGTCAGCTTCGGCTTCACATTGACGAATCGAGTTGCTCATTTGTATTTGTTATTATTTCGGCATATAATACACAGTCTATTTAATCATCCTGCGCAGCGAGCAATAATATCATCGGACGTTACGACCTTTCGACGAATTATATTCTAGGTATTTTATTTATTAATCGGTGTACCCTTTCTTGCTGGTTCAAAATAAAGAATGTTATTATATGCAGATTCTATTACCTTCCATTACGCCACCACTCCTCCAATCAGCTAACCAATCGTCAGCTTCGCTCATGGCAAGAAACAAAGTATTGTTTTGGTGATCGTTACCAGCCTTTGGAGTCGGTCCAACAAATGCTGCCGGTGGCCGGCATTACGTTGACCTATTCCATGTTCACGGGTATTCCGTATAAATAAAAGTGCCCAGAAAACGCTGCTTTTAATTGACAGAAGGGTTATTGCGGTACTCCATCTATATAACTACTAGAAAACTAGCCTCAACTCTGTGATAAGGAAGCGGCAAGTTCGCATCCGCATTGTGAGAACTACGTAAGAGCGTAGCTAAAATTTGCAAACCTACCAGCTAATCCTTTAACATAGGTATTATAATTGAAAAGTAAATTTATAATTATTTCATAAAACAGTGTTAAATAAATGTTGACTCGGACCTACTAACCGTTTAAAGAAATTATAATTTATCTTCAGTCATTACACTAGAGGATAAGGATATTTTTCTACCAGGCAACGGTTTCGCCCGATGCCCACATTTTAAGTTACGCAGGAACCTGCAGGTCTGCGGTAGACTAGATTTATTCTATCCCTATTTCGACTGTATGTTTGATCTATAATAAACCTAGCCCAATAAACCTAGTTTGCACAAGCTTAGCTTCCAGGTGTTATGTTTTTAATAATTCTGCAGTTAGAGTTTCCTGCGGCAGGCCACTTTGTTGTTCTTCCATAAATATCGTTTTTTACTAGTTGTCAAATCTGAAATCTCGAACATTTCAAGATTTCCCAGCTATGAAGTTATGTCTTCTTTCGCTGATCACTATCGCTATGCGATATAGTGCGGTACATAATTTGTGAGTGAATGAAATGCTTGTCTTTCTGCAAAGCAAAATGATTTTAGCTGAATTTCTCGATAACGTGGCGTGGTAAAATTCAGGGCGGCTTCAAGCTGATAACAACGTTTTTTCAAAGATTTTACAACAGGCATATCTTCGCCGTCAGGCCTAGATATAGTTACTGTGTTTACTAATATACAATAAATTCACACTTACACAGTATAAAACTGTTTGTAGTTAAAGGTACGCCCAGGTAGCACTGTAAATTAGGAAAGCAGTTAGTGGAATGGATCGTTTAAATGGACGCAGCCTTCGGTTTAGCTATATCAGTAAGATGGGTAGATGTCGCGCAATTAACCCACTTGATTAATCGAAATTATTTACAAAATTTTTGTGTGTTTAAGATCGGTGTTTTGCTGAAATTGAAAAATATTAACACCGAATGCATCGGGAACGAATCGTTATATCTGGTACTGAAACTAGCTTATTTAATCAAGGCTCCGAAAAGGCTTTTCACTAAAGTCATGCTTCGATCGTGCAGTATGCGTCGGTGTTGTAGGCTGTGTAATTAGCGTCTTAGCAAGATATTTCGTATGAAGCACATTGATTTGATTGAAATCATATCCCATAATTAATTTTACCTATAACCCGCGAAATATAGTTCAACAACTTATCCAATACATTTTTTCACTAATGAGGCACATATCGACCTACCCAGTTAAACCCTCTAAAGACAGACTATGGTATTTGCGAAGTGGTGCTTCCAACTAAATGGTATTTTCTGATAAACTCAGGCCGAGAGGTAGGTAAAAAACAGATTCTATTTTGTTAGAAAATCGTAAAAAGTCCTAAACATGTGAATCCTACTGGGGTTGTGTATATGCCTTAAAGGCTCACATTAGTCTGCGCACGTAGTTGTATCCGCACGAGCTACTAGCTATTTACTTTAACAATCTATCTATACGATTAGAGTAACGTATTAAATCAGTGGCAATTTTAGTTTTTCTCGATCAAACTTTGATCTACTTGAGTATTGGTAAAAACATATACGAAGTGGCCGCTGCGTTCGTTTTCCTACGAAAGAATAGACGTTGAGAATCGTTGCTGGATCATAATAGTCAACATAAAAGTAACATTTGAATGCTAGGACAATTATAACGACAGGAGAGAAAGATCAAATCCTGTTATATCGTGACCCTATTATATGATAGTATCAATTGCCGTTAAACGCAGACTTACGGTTTATTGTAAAGCCTTATTTTCCTGATCGGAATATCCATAATATACATATTCACTACAAACGTTCGGAATATTCAGTATAAACAAGTTCTATTTTAACACGACAAACAAAAGCTGTATGCATCGGTGCTTCGACTATATATTACCTCTGAGCATTACTGCCAAATATTGTCACATTTCACTTTGTCGGTTCCTTTCTCTCCATTATTGGATACTTTTTGCGTGGTCCACAAAGCGGACATTTCCCTCTTTTTTTTTTTTCAAAATATTTGGATGACAGGATTGTTAGTGCTAAGTAGATGAATACTATGAGCAGGTAGCTAATATATTTAGCTCCTCTATAAAGTTGACCATAAGAATAGTATAAGTTTTATAACGCCACTAAGAATCTCAAAGACCTCTTCAACTTCAGGGTTCTAACCAAACTCTAACGTCTTCTGAGTCAAATGTTATGAGTGCTATTTAAATATATTAAAATTATATAGGTAGTATATTAATTAAAATAATATAGGTAAAATTAGCTCTGAAACTCTCAGACTGATAGGAAACCCGTACCTTCAGGTTAAGCATAAGGTTCCTTTAGGGATTGGGCCGTGTAACTATAAAGACATTGACGAGCTTGAGATAACTGATGCAAGATAATTTACGTAATAACAACAGTTACATTTCAAACCGTACACACATGATGAGGCGGAAGTCCCGTGACAATTTGAGAGTAATCAGCGTTATACACACAGATATCTGTCGAAGTATCTTAGATCTACCCTGGCCTTTATATATATATAGACCAGTTGAAACTGGATAGAGCACCTCTATGCAATATGCTTATATGTGGTAGTAGAGATTTGTTTGTTCGACTGCGCTAATCGTCGTTGTCTAACGGTATGAAAATTATGTTATCTAGCGAAATAACGGGTTAAAAAAAGGTGAGATCTCGTATGATGGCACTGTGCCTTTTGTCACTAGCTCAATACTTTGGTCGGCGATCTCTGCTATATCTAATCGGGCATAAGATGTTACTACACAGATTATATGTAAACAAGGCGCTGTAACAAGCAGAAAAGATTTAAATGATAAAGCGGCACTATTACAAAACAAAAACATCTCAGAAGGATACGTAGGCACGATATAAGCGGTTCAATCGCCTTGCATATTGGTGCAGCGCACCAATGAACGATTTGGGATAAATCTCAACGGATTATCAGCAAATACCAAATATATTACGGTAGGTTTCTAAGCCTGACGTATAATACAGATATAACGTGACCTTTTAATTTTTTAAGCAGTCTTGTGGTAGAAGGGCTGGCGTTCTCGTAGTAACAGAGCTAAGCTTAACGACCATGGTCGAATCTACACCGAACATAGAATCAATTGGAACATATCTTGATGAACCCGATTTGCGGAAGTGTTAGAGCCGCTGCGAATTCCTCCAGGAAGAGGAATCGACATTGAAGTATTAAGTGGATCGACAATATACACAGAAAAGGCTCATAAATTAGAACTGAGGACTAGAACCAAACGTAAGGCCACAGCGTGAGAAAAAGCGCACAACGTTGCCTGCAGGAAGGAGAGATGGCAATATCGTCAGGCTTTTCGAAGTTCATTATGTTATGCAGGCATGACTGTTCGAAAAACTGCCAAATCAAGATTGTCAATTGAAAGGATCTCGATGCTTTGGCTAATTCGTTGCTCCGCAATACGCAGAGATATTTATTTAGTTGTTTATGCTGCCATCCTAACAACTATTATAAAGAATACATGAACGCTACAGTTATTAGCATGGTCCGCTTGCAATATCCGAGCTGACTAACAATTATGGGTCA